CGTGTTAGAGTTAATTTATTGATGTTCCTTATTATTCTCTTGAAATTCTGTATTATCTGCTATCCCCGAAGCATGTTCCCCTCCCATTTAAAATGTTTATTCTTGTTATTTTCCCGCTGTATATATATATATATATATATATATATATATATATAACTGCACAGGTTTATGTGGTAGTCCTGTCTAGCCTCGTCACTACTTCGCCGGGGTTAGGCTAGGCACTTACCAACACATGGGGTCGGTTTTGCTGATACTACACTCTGTGCTCTTTTGCACAGATCCAGGTACCGGACAACAGCAGTAGTTCGGGAGCTAGTCTTCAGTCCACGAGATTCCCGAGGTAGTCCTGCAGGCGTCCGTAGGCCCGGCATCTCCTCTATCTTTATTTATGATCTGTTTCCTTTGTATCCGAGACAGACTTTATTCCTTGTTTCAGACAGTTGTATGTAGCACTCTTAGATAGTCCGTGAATGTTGTGACACTAGTCCTGGGTAGAGGCATATATGGATTTTCCTTATTATTTGGTTTACTTCGTTTAAGTCTTTCGCTAAATTATGAATTTCGCTGTTGTTTAATTATTTATCTTCTGTTAGTTTAATTGGTAAACATAGATTTAAAACAAAAGTATTATGGATTCTAAATTGTGGCTTGCCTAGCTTCTACGAGTAGGCGCCATCACGACTCCCGAGGGTGAGAAATCCGGGTCGTGACAGTGTGGTATATTCACTACCACTAGCACGTTCATATTCTTCCAAGAATAAATATGTTTTCATAAATCAGATGTTGTCACATTCACATCATGAATGGACCGTAGTCATCTGTATGTGCTTTACGAAATCTTATGTCAAATCGATGACAAACATTAATTTCACAGAGTGAAGGCTTATTTTGAGAATCCTTATTATTCTCGTTACCACGATAATGACGATTATAATTTCGTCTATTACCACGTCCACATCCATTGATACCTTTACGGTAATAATTTTGTCTTCTTTCAGACTTATTACATATTGCTATCACATTCTCTTAAGGGAATGAGAATGGAGCAAATTCAATGGGACGGGTTTCATTTCTTGTGCTCATAATCATACATGAATTTGATCATGGGAAGACATAGAAATTTTACCACTTCGCGTGGTTCTAATTTCTTACAAACTCTATTAGAGTTATAATCAAAATTTATTGTCTTTGCTTGTATTCAAAATCAAATTATAGAATCAGGAGAAAAATACGGTAAAATACTTACCTTAAATCCAGAATTTAATCATGAATGAAGTTCATGGAACAATTGACAATCATTATGCTCAATCCCAAAGCTTCTACTCAATTGGTTAGAGTCTCGTGCTGATAACGTGTTATAAAACAATAAATGAAGAAGATGAGTATTATAGAGAAAAGTAGAGAGAGAATTCTTATTGATATTGGATGCATTACAATGTAATAGAATCCCTCTATTTATAAGGAAAAAGTGACTTCGTCACCAAATAACAAATCATAAGATCTCTCTGAATATTGAAATTCACCTTAAATATAATTCTATTTATAACATTCTTAAAAAAAAATGCTACTTCTTTTATGCAACACTCTTTTCATTTTGGGATGATCCAAAAGGTGACACAATTCTATTTCTATACGACTAGACATTCAAAAATTTAAATTTATTAAATTATTTAGTTTAGCTTTGATGACATGTGTGTTCTTTTTGCAACCATTACTTTAATATTTTTTTTTGTATAACTAAATATATGTATATAATTGAATACTATCTAAAGCTTTGCGTTAAATCAAAATGTATCAGATAAAATGAAACTTATGAAATATTACATTAAATTGAGCATTTCGACATATTTATAATAACAATTATTAGTATTAAGCAATGTTAGTGAAGTTTTTATTTTTCAGGAAAAGAAATATTATACCACTCCATTGCATGGGATATAATATTAGTGGTGACTTTTTTTAGGACAGGACCGGTGCATGAGCGGCGCGCAAATTTCCAAGCTAGGGTTCTTTTTTCTTTCCTTGTGTTTCTTTCATATATATTCCCAGTTCTCCAACAGTACGAAAAACCCCAAAGCTGAAAATAGAACAGAATCTCAATAAGGTTAAACTATTTACATTTCATCTAATTCTTGCAAAGACTTTTTCATTTAAGTTAAACTCTCTTTTTTCTATTTGCATAATAACTGAATTTTTTAGCCTTTTGAAGTGAAGGGATTTTGCTGGTTAATTGTAACATGGAAGCTTGTTGCGGAGCTGCAATCATGGGTTCAGTTCAGCAACCTGTTTGGGTTAAAAGTTCAGCTTTTCCTTCAAAAGGGGCTGCTGGTATTCCGACTCGGGTTAAATTATGCTCTGTAAAACCCTGCAGAGCATCTCCAATTGAAGGGAGCTTGTTAACAGGAAGCCCTACTTCTTCTGTTTCTTCTGTAGGTAATCTTGAAATTCTGTTGTTTTGTTCTACATATAGTAGTATATGCAAATGAAAAATGTTCTTTAGAAGTATTTTTGGTTTGTCTTTTATGCATAAAATATTAATTTTTTTTTTTTTTGGGGGGGGGGGTGGGGGATTGGTTTGCTCAGATTCTATTTTATGCATATGTATTGTTCAAATGGGGTTTGATGGACCATTGATATGTTTTTCAGGAGTTTTTTGTAAATAGTTTTTAGTTATGCTGCTAAATCAAATATAGGTTTTAGTTATGTTGATAAATCAAATTAATTAATGTAATTGGCTATATCAAAAGGCCATGATGTGTCTGGTGTTGTGAAGTTATTGCTAAATTTGTTGTATTTCCCATCTTGTTATTCCTTTTTTTTGGGGTGGGGGTGGGGGTGGGGGTGGGGTGGGGGGCAGGGGGTGCGCGCGCGCTGAGTGTGTTGATCAAAAGAAATATGATTTGATCCTCCTGATATAATATTTCGTTCATTTGACAAGTTATAAATGTAGACTCTTTTCTTATTTATAATAAAAATTAATGTAGACTCTTAAATCCAATTTTGGTACACCAATTGCCTTATGTGATGAACTTGTTAGATCACATAAAGCTGGAATGTGGCATCTGTAGCACCTGAGTTTTCTCTGCAGGCTTCTGAAATTGGAGTGATTGGTGACTTGCCAATTTACTTGGGTTGGGTCTTGGAAGTGTCTTTTTCTTGTTAAACGGCAGATATGAATAGGTTCTCCATCTTGTTTATCAGCTCTTTGGTATCAACGCAGAGACTATCATTGGTGTCAGAGGAGATTTTCATTGAACATTTTTAGTTTGCTTTTTCATTTCTTTGCAAGGCAAAAACTAATCGGGGCTAAAGCCAGTCCCGTTGGTTAAATATCCCTCATGAACTTTTATGATGACATTTACTTTCTTAGACTTAATTCATCTACTCATGGTTGTCAACTGCAATTTTTTAGGTGCTAAGAGCAGCTTTGAGGACTATGGATTGAGTGAAGCTGATCCTGATGTTCGTGCTATAATTGACAAAGAGAAGAAACGTCAATTTAGGAGCTTAGAACTTATTGCATCTGAGAATTTCACATCTCGAGCAGTGATGGAAGCAGTTGGTTCTTGCCTTACAAACAAATACTCTGAAGGGCTTCCAGGCAAAAGGTGAACCTGATATTAATCATACATTTCTTCTTTGCAGAAAACTTGTCTTCTTTTATGTAGGTTGTTTAATGACAAATTTCTAGTTCTTAATTTGTGTCAGATATTACGGTGGGAATGAATACATTGATGAGTTGGAAACTCTCTGTCAAGAAAGAGCATTGGCTGCCTTTAGCTTAGATGGAAAGCAATGGGGTGTGAACGTTCAACCATTATCTGGTTCGCCAGCAAATTTTGCAGTCTACACAGCTGTCCTTAATCCACATGACCGGATTATGGTTAGTTTTAAATTGTAAGCAGTTTTTTATTACTAGTTTTTAGTTGCTGCATGGAATGACATTTATATTGTGCGATTGTACCTTAGGGATTGGACTTGCCTCATGGTGGCCACTTGTCCCATGGATTTATGACTCCTAAACGACGAGTTTCAGCCACCTCTGTTTACTTTGAGTCCATGCCTTATCGACTTGATGAATCTACAGGTAACAGTGTGCTACTTTAAGTCTTTAACATATTGGATTTGGACTGTTAACTAGAATTATTAGCTGATGGAAGTATGTCTTAACTCTAAACAGGTATTCTCGATTATGAAATGCTTGAGAAAACGGCGAATCTTTTTCGGCCGAAACTTATCATTGCCGGTGCTAGTGCATATCCGCGTGATTTTGATTATCCTCGTCTGAGAAAGGTACAATTCTATAATAATTGGATTTGTTATATTCATAACAACTTCTTGTTCTCTTTTTATTTGGCAACTAATATTGTGCTTCTGATATGTCCTGAAAGATAGCAGATGCTGTCGGAGCTTTCCTGATGATGGATATGGCTCATATCAGTGGGCTTGTTGCTGCCTCTGTGCTTGCTAATCCATTTGAATACTGTGACATTGTTACTACTACTACTCACAAGGTACTGTGATTCCTTGCCGAGCTAATAGTTTTGTGCTCAGCACATCCCTCCCTTCCCTGCTCCTTAAAAGAAATGTTAAATAGTTATATCAGTTGTATTTTCATTGGGCTTTTCTCTCTTTCTTTCTCCAATGCACTTCTGCTGTTAGATTTCCAAAAATGCGTTAAGTCTGTTTTTTCTCTTTTCAATTCTTCAAAGTAAAGATATAACAAGAAAAAGAATTCTTTAAAGTAAGAAATATGAGATTAGCCTGGTTTTAAAGTTATACAATAAGGCGGAGAATTAGGCCCTCCGGACAAGCGTGCTCTTTGAGTATTACAGCTTACAAAACTTTGCGCAGAAGTCCATGTGTGGAAGATGTTCTTATTATTGGTGGAACTGTAGTGTTTCTTCTTGCGAATAAATGATCAAAATCCAAATTGTACAGTGAACTAGATCGTTTTGCATAGGAAAGGAAAATGAAGATGTTGTGTTATGTCTGAGGAATGTGTGCTGCATCATGCAGTCTAAATTAACTTATAGATTGAAATTTTTTGGGAAGACTACTAACTCCATCTTTAAACTCCAATATTTTAGTAGTCACAGACAAGGTTTCTTGTGTGCTATTATATGTTACTATATGATGAACTATGGCCTAACTTGGACTTGTCCGTTCAGTCTCTTAGAGGTCCTAGAGGTGGAATGATCTTCTTCAAAAAAGATCCAGTTCTTGGTGTGGATCTGGAATCTGCCATAAATAATGCTGTTTTTCCTGGTTTGCAGGTAAGTTCATTTTTCTTTTAATTATCCATCCTTTTATTTTCCTTTTCGGAATAAGTTTCATGATTCCTAATACCTTACCAAAGATAAGAACAACTTTTCCCTTTGGACTCTATATTATATAATCTGGATTCTTCGAATTGAGCTAGCAATATTATTGTTTGTCTCTGCAGGGTGGTCCCCATAATCACACAATTGGAGGACTAGCCGTTTGTTTGAAACATGCGAAATCACCTGAATTTAAGGCTTATCAGAACCAGGTAGGAATTTTTGGCCTCTTTACCCAACACTGTCTCCATCTCTAGTGGAAATGTCACTCCATCTATTATGTATTTATCTTGTAGGTGGTCTCCAACTGTAGAGCTCTTGCAAGCCGGTTAACGGAATTAGGCTACAAGCTGGTCTCAGGAGGGAGTGACAATCATTTGGTTCTTGTGGATTTGAGGCCTCTAGTGAGTTTTCCGGGTTATACCTTTTCCATTTTCCTTTGCGTAAATACTCAATTATTAGGATGGACTTATATTTTGATGGTACTTAAGAAACTATCAGATTAAATTAGTAACATCAACGGCATCCTATACTAGTTTGGTTAAAGTAAATTTTCAGAAAAATTATGGTTAGTATTAATCTTTCTGCGCTGCTGGCTGTAAGCACCAGAATTATCTGATAAACTTGCATAGATTAACAGTGTTCATATGTCAATTAGGGAACTGATGGTGCTAGAGTGGAGAAAATACTTGACATGGCATCAATCACTCTCAACAAGAATTCAGTACCTGGTGAGTGTAAGCTTATACAGTTAATTGTCATTTTGGAAGTTCCTTTTGTATTTACACCGTCAAATAAATCGAAACTATAGGTGATAAAAGTGCACTAGTACCTGGTGGCATCCGCATAGGCTCACCGGCCATGACCACTCGAGGTTTTACAGAGAAGGAATTTGTAGCAGTTGCAGATTTCATTCACGAGGGCGTGCAAATTACTCTCGAAGCCAAGAAGTCTGTCTCTAGTACCAAACTCCAAGATTTCTTGAAGTTTGTTACTGCCCCAGATTTTAATTTGATTGACAAGGTGTTGGACTTACAAAAAAGGGTCGAAGCTTTCACGAGCCAGTACCCATTGCCTGGTTTATGAAGTGGTATTGGAAGGCCGAATTGCCTGATGATAATACAGCTTGCCGCTTCCTATTTCATGACGCCAAGAATTTTGCAATGTGCTGTTTAGGATGTTTTAGGATGATTCAATGCATTGATACCTATACCAGTTTGCTCTCTGAAAATCATCTATGTTTGTTCTTCTCCTGGAAAAATGAGCAGATTTATATTCTGTGTTGAAGCAAAAAATAGGAGTTGGGTGTTGTAAACAATTGAATTTCATCCGTCATACTTGAAAACTGCATGGATATTGTAGTTCAGTTTTGTCAGTCTATTGGAATTTTGAACGTCTAAAAAGATTCGTATGTGTTTTGAACTTGAAGCATTATTCCTGTTAATAGAAAAACTTTGATTAATACAAAAACTTATTAACAGATTTAAGTTGATTTTATAACTAATGAATTCACTGTTGTTACAAACTCTTCTGGATTGAAAATGTGAGTCGCAACTCAAACATAGTAAGAAAAGAAATTTAAAGGATTTCAAGTTAAAAAAAATAATCTATTTAGGTATCGTAAATGTGAAGCAACTCAAATACAGCAGTTATACCCTTTACCACGTTGAGATATAAGGCAAGGCTCTTCAATTATCTACAATTTTTGTTTGCTCGAAGTTCCACCAGTAGAGGGGCAAGTGCACAAATAACCTATTCTCATGGATGTTATTTAGATATTAGTCGGTATTTATTTTGTTCTGAATTTTAAAACTAAAAATTTTAGCTTCAGAATACTTTTTGTCCAAAATTTTGAACTGAAAACTGAAATTAACGACACACTGGTTAATTCTTAAATAGCAGGCCTTTAGGCCTCATTTGTTTGCACTTAATGGAGGTCTGAATCTAAACCATTCAGATCACACCCATTAAGTGTATTTGTTTTTAAAGTATGAAATTTTAATTATTCAGATCTTAATCATTAAGTGTGTATGTTTTTTTTACTTCACAGCCACTTAGGTCTGAATAGGTCTGTATGATTAAGATCTATAATATGGATTTAATTTCATTAAGATGTTATCACATATTCATTATTAACTACCGTCACCGCCTATCATTATCAACTATCACCATACTCAACTACCACACCACCACTACCACCTCCACCACCACCACGTCACCATCATCCTCAATCATAGCCGCCACCATTATCGACCATCACCACCCACTATCCCCACCACTCCGGCCACCATTATTCTCCCCCACAATCAACACTCATCCACCTCAACTACCACAACCGACCACCCCATCACCATCAACAACCACAATCGATACTGCCCATCATTACAACCTACCTCCACCAACCCACCACCTTCCTCAGTCACAACTACTACCACCACCCGCCATTATTAACTATCACCAACCACGCCACCACCATCCTCAATCATAATCGCCACCACTACCAATTACTACTAGCTACTAGCATGAACCACCATCATCAACCAAAACTACCACCAACCACCGCCTCTGTCGGCATTCACCCGTTAGCCATCACCACCAACAACTATCATATGTCAAAAAACTATATAATTTATAGAATATTAGATTAGTTATTTAATTTGAATTTTATGTTTATTAATTTCCAAATAAAGATAAATATTATATATTCAGATGTTAAAAATCAGACAGTCTTAATTATCTCTATTCAGATCTTAATACACATCTTAATATATTCAGATTCACATGTCTTAATCTTAATACACATCTTGATATTCAAATGTGTATTCAGATTCAGACGTCTTAAACTTAAAAAAAGAAAACATACGAGGCCTTAGAGTGGCTACCTGGTGTCATTTCTACCAGGAGATGGTCATTTGTTTGTAAATAAGTGACACTTCAAAAAAATTTAATGGGGGCATTTTCATTTTTTATCCACTTTTGGGGCCACCATTGAAGTTATATCCGTAATGAATAATATTTTGCAAAGTATACCTGCTCGGATCTTAAGTAGTTCAATCTCTTTAATGCAACTTCAGAAATCAAATATGAAGTTCTTCTATCTTTTAAATCCTCAGAAATTCAAACTTAAGTAGTTCAATCTATTGAATGCAACTTCAGACTTCGAATCTTAAGTTCTGAAACATAAACTTGTTCTTCGAATTTCAGCAATTCGATACCCGATTCAATGGTCAAATCTACTGCAAATGAGCTCAAATTTGAAACATAACTTTCAAATATCATAAAAGAACAAATCTCAATCATCAAATTGTCAAAACAACAACAAATTTAACAACCCGATTTTGCATCTAAGAAGAAGAAGTAGAAGAAGAAATTCTAAGCACAAAGAAGAAGAAAACAATATAGTAAAGAAGAGAAAAGTGTGTGTATCTGAAGTGACCCACAAATTAGATATCAGTTAAACTTTTTTTATTAAAAAGTAGGTACAAATTTAATGGGTAGCGTAAAACCGGATGTCACATGAAAATTTTACAATTTAAGTAAGAATTGAATTAAAATTTAAATGCCAGTTGCAAAATTACCTATATTTTAAATGGGTGAAAATCATTTTCCCCTCAAATATTCGTGTTAAAATTAAACTCCCTAACTTGAACTATAACCCTTCTTTTCATCAGGTCATCTAGGACCCGTTTGGCCATGAGTTTTGCCAAATATATTTGGGATTTATTTTCAAAACTCATGTTTGACCATAAATTTTGCCCACATTTTGGCAAAATCCCAAATCCCAATCCCCATTTTGGGAAATATGTTTTGAAAACGTATGTCCAAACACATTTTCTTCAAAACCAAACTTTACCCAAATCAATTTTTCAAAACTAATTTCGGATCTATGGCCATATGCCCTTTGACATTCTCACTCCACACTTCCATGTAACGTTATTTATAGAATTTTGCCCTTGAAGGTTGTGAAAATGTTTAAATTTGTCTCCATTAATAGTTAGAGTCAAACTTCTGCGGTTATAAGATTGATCCAAATTTGCCTCTTTATACTAGCAGCGGAAGCTTTCCAACATATCAGCCTTTTGTACAAGAGATGATCAAATTTGCCCTTGAATTATGCAAAAAGGTCCAAATTTGTCTTTGAATAACGAAAGACCCAGCTCTCTACTGTCACGACCCAAACCCCGATCCGGTCGTGATGACGCCTCTCGTGAAGACAAGGCCAGCCAACCAACCCATTTCGCCTTCTCAGAATAGATAAATATTAATAAACAGTTTAGCATAATTAGATAATCACAGTCTAAATAAGGATTTCTTTATTAAGTGCGGAATACAACCCAAACACAGCCCAAACCGGGGTGTCACAAGTCACGAGCATCTATCAGAATGTAAATCCACTACAAGGTCTCTAAAATACAAGACCGGAATAACGAACAAAAGAGAGGAAAATGGTGCTGCGAACGCTGGCAGTCACCTCTTTAACTCATATAACTCTGCCTCTGATCAGCCAAAACCCGCTACCGGGTGAATAGATACCTGCATCTGCACACAAGGTGCAGGGAGTAAAGTGAGTACTCCAACTCAGTGAGTAATAAGGGTAAATAACAACTGAGCAGTAAGAAATCACGTAAAACAAACCATCATGCTATACAGGAGCAGTGTAAAACCCTTTGAGAAAAATAGTGAAGCTGTGAAATCTTTAGAAATATCTTAGCTCAGTTTAAAACCTCTTTTGAAAATGACTTTTTCAACAGTATGCAAATGAATGCAATTCATATAGTGCAGATAAGCACAGAAGTCCGCCCCTCGGGCACCACACTCAATTAACAGATAATGTCAGGCAATCCAATAGATATCACATGAAGTAGCACAAACAACAGGTAAAGGCAAGCAAATAAGATAAAGTAAACACACAGAACAGTACTAGTACCGCTGCGTTGTGCAGCCCCCTCCACATATCGCTGCGGCGTGCAGCCCGATCCATTTATCGTCGACGTCGCTCACTGGGGGGTGTGCAGACTCCGGGAGGGGCCCCTTACGGCCCAAGCGCAATAATAAGCCATCTCGTGGCATTAACTAGGCCCTCAGCCTCATATCAAAATCAATATCATACCGTTGCGGCGTGCAGCCCGATCCCATACTCAGTCCAAAAATCACATAAGCCCCTCGGGCACAATCATATAGAAATATTCAGCCCAAACTTCATTAAAAATATTAATTAAGTTTCAAGTTTAAGAAAGGGTGGCTGAGTTTGCAAAACAGTATTAAATACTAGGACTGAATTCAATGATATGCACAAATGGTAAGAAACCAGTAATAACAATCCCTGAAGGATTCAATCTATTGACACGAAGCCCAAATATAGGAATCAGCTCAATTAAAATGATAATAAGTGAATTTCAGTCAAATACGCAGTATATTCATCTACCGGGACGGACTAAGTCACAATCCCCAACGGTGCTCTACCCCACGCTCGCTATCCGGCGTGCAAGTCACCTCAATATAACACTACGATGTGCAGATACGGGGTTTCAAACCCTCAAAATATCATTTACGATCATTACTCACCTCGAACCGGCGAAATCTCTAGCTCGCGACGCCTTTGTCTCTCAAATCGACCTCCTTGCGCGTCGAATCAGACCAAAACCACAACGAATACGTCACAATATGCCAATGGAACAATACCCAATCGAAGACAATCGAAAAATAGCGAAAATTTCGAAATTAGCAAAATCCGAGCCCCGGACCCACTTCTCGAAAATCAGAAAATTTAACATCAACGGACTCCTTATATCGCCACGAGTCTATACATATAAAGATTACCAAAATCGGAGTCCAAATGACCCCTCAAATCTCAATTTGAAATGTTAAAACTCAAGCCCTATTTCTTCCCCTTTTTGCTAAGTTTCCATGGATTTCAAGGTCAATTTCACAATAAAATCGTGTTTTTAGTTCATAGGGCTTACCTCCAATCAATCCCAGTCGAAATCCTCTTCAATTCCCGTCCAAAAGCTCTCAAGGATGCTCAAAAATGGTGAAAACAGGGCTTAGCTCGCGGATGAAATATTTATTAAAACCCTTTTGGCCAGCTGACATTTCTTCTATGCGAACGCGAGGGCCGTCTTGCGTTCGCGATGCACAAAAATTCCACTGGCCAATTTTTCCCTTCGCGAACGCGGTGACTTTAGCTGCTACCACTACGCAAACGCGAGCCTTATGCCGCGTACGCGAAGAACAAATATTACGGAACCTCAAATCCTCTTATGCGAACGCGGCACACGTCACGCGAACGCGATGCATACTCCCAGGGCCCTTCGCGAACGCGATGATCTATACGCGAATGCGAAGCACAAAGACTCATGGACCCAACTCTCTTCTACGCGAACGCGTGCTCCTCACCGCGAACGC